ATGCAAGTTTGTTTCCCATGTGCAAGGGTCATGCCCAACAGAAATCCACCCATATTAAGAGCATAATCCATTTCTATTAATGCAAGTTTGTTTCCCATGTGCAAGGGTCATGCCCAACTGAAATGGACATGTAAATACACAGGCACAAAGCCAGCAATTGCAGGGCACCTGAGAATGTCCTACCAGTATGGAGCCCTCAAACCTCATCTTTTTGGTGCCGCCCAGTGCTTTTATAGGAGAGGCCTGACAGGGAGGCATTAGAGTGGGATGGCCAGTGCGACAGCTTCACCCATGCCCAGTGCCAGGGAGAGCACAGGAGCCGGAACACAGGGGCATGGTGCGTGAGCCGACTTCCTTTTCCCAAAGACCATTCTTTCTGGCATGTGGAAGCAGACAGTGGAGGAGCTCTGAACAGGCCCAGGGCAGAATACGGTGCAGAAGATTAAAGAGTCTGCAGAGTCACTACACACTATGGTAGAGAGAGGTCAGGGCAGAAGTTCCAAATGATAAATAAAAACAAACTCACCCAGAGGTTCATGCACAGACAGACGTGGAAGCAAAGAGAGAGAAAAGGCCATCCTCAGCCACAGAGATGGACAAGCCAGAAGTCTGCAGATGGCACCCAAGCATGGACAGAAAACAGACATGTGGACTTGAAACTGCAGGTAGGGGGGACCAAGACCAAGAGGGGACCTTTATGGGGGAAGGAGCTCTTTTGCAGGTTTTGCTGATTATTTCTTTACCCAACAGAAAGCAACCAATTTTTTTCTTTTTTTTTTTTGAGACAGAGTCTCGCACTGTTGCCCTAGGTAGAGTATCGTGGCATAACTGCTGACAGCAACCTCAAACTCCTAGGCTTAAGCAATTCTCTTGCTTCTCTTGTCTCAGCTTCCCAAGTAGCTGGAACCACAGATGCCTGCCTATTTTTGTTGTTGCTGTTGTAGTTATCATTGTTGTTTTAGCTGGCCCAGGCTGGGTTGAACCGCTAGCCTCAGGTGTATGTGACCAGTGCCCTACCCACTGAACTATGGGCGCTGCCCGCAACCAAATACTTTTAAAATCCATAGAAGGGCTGGGGCATCCCCATTACCTGCCTGCGCTCCCGGCGGGTCAGGCTGTGGCCATTGAGGATACGCCAGAGCATGCGCGCAGCGATCTTGGTGTCGATCCAGAGCAGGCGGAAGCCGTGGTAGTAGTGCTTCAGTTCATCTAGTACCCTCTGCCCGAGGGATTTCTTCACCACCACCTCCGCAGGGGGGCTATACACTGGCCCCCCCTCCTCCAGTTTCTTGTTCTTGTCCTTCAATGATCTGAGGGACTTCTCCACCATAGAATCGTCACTGAGGGGAGTCGATGAGTGCCAGCCACGCAACGGAAGGCACTGGGGCCCTGCGACAACCAACCCCCCCATGGCAGGAGTCCATGGTGCTCTTGCCACTGTGCGTGGACACTCAAGCCTCAGAGTCCAACAGCCACGATGAACACCTCTAAGAGAAAGGTACGCAAGGTGGCCCGGAGTATAGCAGCCCATCGGAACATTCCTGGAAAAAGGAAAACAGCAGTAAGAGCCAGTACTTGCCTTCCACTGCTCAGCACCAGATATCAAAAACAACAGAAACTACATGCCACATGGGATCACAACCACGCAAACACCTACCTGCTCCCTGATGTCTGAAACACCCCTGGGGAGCCCTTCTGAGAGGACTTGCATAAGAGCCCAGGACTGCATGTGGGGTCCACCAGTGGGGTAGACTGATGTGTGTGCAACCAAACAGCCTTGGCTCCAACCTCTGGGCAGCCCTCAGAGGCTCACTCCTAGTGACAGAGGTAAGTGCCTTGCTTTGAGATCTGGCAGGAATGGGGTACAGAGCAGGAAGCTGTATATGGAGGATCCTCTCCTCCACCAGCTGACTCTGGAAAGACCCGTGGCCCTTAAGCAAGCCCTGAAAATCAGCAGAGGCAGGCCTGTGCATGCTGGCTGACCACAGGCACTAGCACCCAATGATATAACCTGAAGAATAAAGCCCACAGCCCACTGCCCCCTCTTCCTCCCCTGCAGCTGACTCTTCTCAACCTGGCCCCAGCTGCACCTGCCCCTGCCTGGATAGCTAAGGTTACACCTTGGCTTCCCACAGGCCTCTGTGACCACCCCACTGCCACCCTATGCTTACATTCACAACACTGTCTTCTGCACTCATCCTACCTGGTGCTGGCTGGGTACAGGTGAGGTGTACATGCCGTCCTCCACTGGAATGCAGGCTCCGCAAGGTTGGGAACTGGCACCAGCCTCACAGGCCAGTGGGAAGCTGTGACTTAAAAACTTCAGACCTTTTTTGTCCACACTGCATAAGCCCATAGGGCTGTCAAGTCACAGGCAGACAAAGCAGGCCAGCCACTAGTCGGAGTGCCTGCAGCCCAGGGTCTGTGCACACCTCAGCTCAGTGCTGAGATGCCAATCACAGCCACACTGACACAAACAGCTGCACGGTACGCTGGCAGGTTTGTGAGCTTGCATTCATCTCCCTATGCACACTGCAAGCTCCTCCCCACAGTCATACACAGACCTGCTCAGGCAGCTCCAGGCTCACTGTCAGCTTGTTTCAGAGGCCATGTGTACCATGTATCCGGCACTCTCAGCTTCTCCCCACCTCCGTCATCTCTCTGCACCTGACTTGATGCCACCAGTGAGGGCCTGAGCTCTGGAGCAGACTGTCCGAGATCAGATTCTGGCTCCACCACTAGTTGTGTGATCCTGACCAAGTAACTTAACCTCTCTGTGTTCTAAGAGCTGCCTTTGTAAAAATGTGTGTTAATATATACCAAGTGCCACCAGCAATGCCTACCATCACAGCAATAGATGCCACCAGTTAGGGCTGGAGACAAGGTAAGAAATCTCAGTTCCCTGCTCATGTTCACAGGTGGGGACCATGCAGCTCTCAGCCTATGCTGGCAGTGTAGCTGGCAGGGTGTGACTGTACATGTCCCAGGTCTGAAATCTCCACAGGACTATAGAAACGAACTCATACTGACCTCAAGGAGAGGTTCTAAAGATTAGGTGATGAGACATGTGGAAAATGCCTGGTCACAGCAGCATAGGCTAGAGAAGAAGGGAGGCCCAGCAAAGAAAAAACCTCTCACCTCGACTCGCCCCGTTTGAGGCTCTCTCCCAGCTCCCACGTGGCTTTCTTCCACTATACCTCCAGGCTTCTCCCAGCCAGAAATGGCCCCTGAATCCCACTGTCCTGAGCCACAGTGTTGGAGGGCTGTCTACACATAGTACAGTGCAGTCCACTTGTGCTCAGACCGCTACTGGGCCACTTGGAGGCCTCCCAATGCTGGCCAGCCTAGTGCCTTCTACGCCATGGCCTCTCACATGCGGTGCTGACAGCAATCACACAGTAACAGGTATGACCTCCTCTCATCATCAAGCCACTTCCCACCCTCATTAGCAAGGAAGAGTGTGGCTTCCACTAGAAGAGATGCTGTCAGCAGTGGCAGGGTGCCACAGGCAAAGAGAAGTCACACAGAAATGAACTGGTGGAGTGGTGTGCCAATGGTTATTCAGCAGGGCTGACTCCTGCAGTCCTGGCCACCTTCAAGAACATGACAGATTACTAACAGTCAAGCCTGGAAGGTTTAGCTATTTCCAAAAGGCACAAAGTTATATAATACAATATTTTTAAAGTTTTCATCAACACAAAACCAACCTGGACACAGTGGCTTCTGGGGAGCCCTAAGACAGCATCATGGAGGAAAGCTGGCCTGCTGTATCCCACGCTGGTTGAGCCTCTGGATGGCAGCAGCACTATCCAGAGGCACCTGCACATCTCACTGACAGGTCACCCTGGGCCCAGCTTCCCATCACTCCCATTACCAGAATTTCTGCTTCTTGCAGTGCTTCTCTTGCTGGCCTACTGAAATAGCCACACGGCCACTCAGATAGCAGGCCAGGCCACAGTTGGGGACTAGGCCTATTTTTTTTTTTTTTTAGAGACAGAGTCTCACTTTATCGCCCTTGGTAGACTGCTGTGGCACACAGCTCACAGCAACCTCCAACCTCCAACTTAGGCGATTCTCTTGCCTTATCCTCCCAAGTAGTGGGGACTACAGGCAGCTGCCACAATGCCCGGCTATTTTTTTGTTGCAGTTTGCTGGGACCGGGTTCAAATCCGCCACCCTAGGTATATGGGACTGGTGCCCTACCCACTGAGCTACAGGTGCCACGCACCAGGCCTATTTTTATTCCTCAGCATGTTCCTGATTCCTGATGATACTGTGAAAGTGCCACAAGTACCACTGCTTGTGGGCCACCCTGCAGAAAACAGCACCTGGAGTGGGTGCTGCTCACTCCAGAACCTCCTGCTTCAAGGCCCAATCAAGAGGCGAGACAGCAGCCACCCCTAGTCCTTCAGGCACATCATGTCCACAGGAACAGAGTTATCCCCAGCACCAAGAAAGCAGAAAGAAACAAGGGCAGAAGGATAAGAAAGCAGCAGCCACCACAGCTGGGGACAATACCAGGAGTCCAGAACAGCTCTGCCTAGTAGACCTGCAGTCTTCTTGCTCCTCTCAGCTGGAGGATGTGCAGAAAATCAAGTCACCAGAATGTCAACAGGCCCATGATGCCAACGTCACCACACACCAGGCACACACACTGTTAGGCTACTCACTTCAGGGCTTGCACAGTGCGCTACCATCAATAGCAACAGTCCCCAGGAAATCGCATCAGCATCCACACACAGTGGAGATTTGGGGGAAAGTAGCCCCCTCAGCTGAGGGTTCCTCACAAAACGAGGCCCATGTTGCAGGGAGTTCTGGGCGCTGCACATAGTGGTAAAGAAACTGAGATATCTCCATGATGTAGCCCTGGATCACAGAGGCTTAACCTTCTTACCTCAGGGTTTACATGATTTCAACTGAAGACTACCTGAGATTGAAATAACTGTTAAAACACTAGTACTCAGTCTGTGCAACATAGTGAGGCTCCATCTCTGTAGAAATAAAAAAAATTTTCCAGGCACAATGGTATTCATCTGTAGTCCCAGTTATTCAAGAGGGTGAGGGAGGAGGATCACCTGAGCCCAGGAGTTTGAGGCTGCAGTGAGCTATGATAACACTACTGTATTCTAGCCCTGGGTGACAGAACAAGATGCTATCCCAAATAAAAATAACAAAAATTATATACCTTTTCCTGAAATAGGGCAAAGGTCTTCATCCTTTGTTTTGTATAGAACCAGAAAAAAACTCATATAGCCAAGGCAATTCTTAGTAATAAAAGCAAAGCTGGAGGGGTGGTGCCTGTGGCTCAAGGAGTAGGGAGCTGGCTCCATATACCAGAGGTGGTGGGTTCAAACCTGGCCCCAGCCAAAAACTGCCAAAAAAAAAAAAAAAAAACAACCAAAAAAAAACCCCCAAAGCTGGGGGCATTACTCTACCAGACTATAGGCTATATTACATGTCCATAGTGATCAAAAGAGCATGGTATTGGCACAAAAAATAGAGACATTTGAAACCAAACAGAAAACCATGAGATAAAACTAACATTTTACAGCCACCTGATCTTGATAAACCAAACAGGAGCACACACTGGGGAAAAGAATCCCTATTCAATAAAAGGTGGTAGGAGAACTGAATAACCACATGTGAAATGAGCAGGGAACTGAGATTTCTTACCTTGTCACCAGCCCTAACTGGTGGCATCCACTGCTATGATGGGTGGGGTGCCACCACACACAGGTGCCACTTGTGGGCATTGCTGGTGGCACCTGGTATGTATTAACACACATTTTTGCAAAGGCAGCTCTTAGAACACAGAGAGGTTAAGTTGTCTGGTCAGGGTCTGCACCTCTTACCACTTACAAAACTTGTTTCAAGATGGATAAAAGATTTAAATTTAAGACATGAAACAGGCTCGGCACCTATAGCTCAACCGGCTAAGGCGCCAGTCACGTACACCTAAGGTGGCAGGTTCGAATCCCCAGCCCGGACCGGCCAAACAACAATGACGGCTGCAACCAAAAAATAGCCGGGCGTTGTGGCGGGCGCCTGTGGTCCCAGCTACTTGGGAGACGGAGGC